AACCCTCCGAACCCAGCCAGGCAAACTTGGGAGGGGGGGGGGGGGGGGGGGGGGGCTTGAATCCCCGTAGGGTATTGCTCTGTGGATTCACTTACTTCTGGTCCTCAACATGAATAGGTAGCGTACGCGGTCGTATTTCTCTACACGGCCCTTGCCCAAGCAGTTTTCGCGCAGTACACACATGTTCGTACCAGCGAATCCGTGTATGTTTGTTCTTGTTCGTATTCTCGCAGGGGGGCGTTTTCCGGCGGGTGTGGACGCACGGTATCCCCGCAAGAGCGTCTACCCTGGCGTCCTAGACTTTTACCGAGAGCTGGACTTAGGCGCCAACGGGCCGAGCGAATGGCCGCACGGCCAGGTAAGGAATAGCGGAGGTTTGCGGGGGGGCGGGGTTGCCGTGACGCGAAGGCGTTTTCGTTTTTGCTGGAAGGTGTGCTGTCGGCAAGCGTCAAGGTTTGGACAGAAGTGCGTGCTGGATGTGCGTGGCTGGCTTTTCCTTTGGGGGGGCACTCGGGTATGAGAGTGTTGGACGCGTACAGCCAAGAGTCGAGGTCGGTTTGCATCTTCTTTTTGCATGTTTTCATCAGATTTTGCTTGGTTTTGGTTTCGTCTGGGCTTGATGGTCACAATTACACCAGTCCGAAGTAAACTTGGAAGGAGAGAACGAGAAAAGCTCGTGATTTCTTACTTCTGGTTTGTGCCGGCGTTTCGCACCTTGTTTTGCTTGTTGGAGATTTTTCTCGTGTGTCTTCGTTATCGATGTGAAAAAAAGAAAAGAAAGTGAAATAATCAACAGCAGTTATGTACCGGCGTATCGTCCCAGGCACTCCCGCCCCCCCTCCGCATCCCGCCTCCCAGCTAGGAAACCTGGTGTTCTTGTCCGCGAGGCCGCACGTGTACAAGGACATGTCGGAGTCGAAGAGCTACGCCAAGTTTAAGAAGCTACAGGTACAGAATGTGTGTGTTGGATGTGTCGCGTTGCGATGACATAGCCGTTACGTTACTTGGGTCGCACAGGTTCTACGTAGAACACGACGTCTCGTTGTTGTTTCCGGTTTGATTGAGCGGCTTCCATTTTGAAGACACTGCGATGGTGGCGGTAGCGGGGGGCGCTAGGTTGGTGCGTCTGTCCTCTTTTATCTGTGGGAATGGCGAGGCTTGATGTGGTTTTCGTGTATCGGTTTCGTTTGCTTGGTTTTTGCATCTGCTGCCGCATGCACCATGGACCCGTATTGTATTGTGTATGGACACGTGTCTCCTTCAATTGCCGTCCACCGCGCTGGATCGACTCACCAATGGAAGGCGTGTGCCAAGCGACGTGAAGTGCTGCTATTTTGCGTTGGTGCTTTTCTCGTGTTTGTTTCGCCACGCTTGTCTGGTGCAACGCTTCTTCGCGCTTGGTGTGGGCTGTGATCGCAGGATGAGAAGGGCCTGTACACGAGTCCCACGCTACTCGCGGGGAGCATCGACACCGGCACCACCATGCTGCTCACGGGGAACATGGAGCCCGTGGCTGAGAAGAAGTTCCAGGTATGCATGAACGAAGGTTGTTCTTTGTTTGTCATCGACCGCGCTGCATTTTGAGGGCTAAGACAAAGTGAAGATACGTCGAATCTTAAAGCGGGACAGATTTTTTTTTTTTTTGTGCTAACATCACTTTTCCTAACCCGTGGGCTCCGCTGACAGCGCGTGCGTGTGTGTGTTCGCCTGTTTTTGCGTTGTGTGCGTCGTGTGTGTTTTGTGTAGGGGGGCATCCTTACTGCTGTTGCTTACCGCTACTTGCTGTTTGTTGGTTCCTCCCCCTGCCGCTGCTGCGTTCGTGGGCAGAACTTTGCCGAGTATGTCAGCCTGTACCCGGAGTTCCAGCACGTATTCCTGGGGGACAACGGGCAGGGAGACGTCAGGGCGGCGGAGATGATGGCCAAGCGCTACCCAGGGAAGCTCGAGGCGGTGTATATGCACAGGGTGAGCCGGCGCCGGCTCCGAGATTGCTAACCTCCATGCCGATTGATTTTGGTTGGCCCTTCCTGTTCCCGCGCATCTGTACGAGCTTGGCGTTTCGTGGGACAGAAATGCGGGAAATGTTTTGTTGCCATTGTGACGTCACAACCACGAACGGCCCTTGCCCCCGAGAGCACTTGTGCGCGGAGGACACCCGCGGCAGCGGCAACCGCAGCGGCAGTGGAGGCAAGCAGATGAAACACCTCTCACAAGCCGTTGCCGTACCGAATGACGAGAGAATACGGCATTCCATTCCAGCTCTATCTGTGCCTTGATGCGCACGCACCTGTCAACACAGCAGTGATATGAACTCCTATGGTTGCCGGCATTCCGTCAAGATGGTCGCATGAACAAGAACACGGTTTCCAGCTCTATCGAGACTTGGCTGCGAACGCACTTGTCATCACAGCAGTGATACGAGCTCCTCTTACGCCATCTTGCGGTACGTTCCGTGAACGTGAAGGTGGTGCCGGAAGAGAAGACGTTCGGGTACCAGGGTGCAGTTACCCGGGAGGCGTGGAAGAAGGCCAACATCGTCTTCGTCGGCGACTACGTCGAGGCCGCTTGCCACGCCTATAAGCACGGCCTCATCCAGGTGCGTTTGTTGGGTGTTGTACGGTACGACAGCGGTCGTGTAGGTGGTTGTATTTACGTGGTGTTGATACAGTCATCGTCCCGATGTATGCCGCGGTCTAGCGACAAGCCAAAACAACCTCCGTATGTCGGGATACCGCACTTTTGAGTGTTGGGGAATATATCGCTTTTATTTAGTATTGTAACCAAAATCCCATGACAGGCGATAATTACTGCGGCGTATGAGAACCCGCCCCTTACTCGGGACCGCGGTACGGTATATCCGGACCACCACTGAAGCCGTGATGGTGGTGGTCGTCTGTACGGCCATTCTATCGTTTCGTGAGGCCCATAAACGTCAAGACTCAACGCATGCTCTTGTCCTTCCTCCCCCACTCTTCACGCTTGGGCGTCCTGACGGCCTGCGTTTCCTGCTGCCTATTTTACTGTGCCGATATTTCGCCCCGTTGTTTTCTCGCTGTTGCTGCTGTCGTCCTTCAGGCGGTGGGCTTGCAGCGCGTGTGCCAGGGCGCTGTGGAGCAGTTCGTGGAGATGAAGTTCGAGGGCCCCCTGATGCGCGAGCAACAGAGGCGGCAGATCAACCAGAGCGTGTGGCAGGTGGGCGCGTGCCTTTTCCACCTTTTTGGAAGGAAAAGGTTCTCGATAGCCGCGCGTCTTGGAGTGTGTTCGATGAAGGTCGATTCGCAGGGAGGCGTGTTTGCGCATGTGTTTCGTGCCTTGATGTGTGATGTTGTGTGCGTGCTGAACTCTACCGCTACCAGAACCAGACACGCCTAAAATTATGTAGCCAAAAAGAATTGTGTTTCGTTGATTCGGGATCTATGTGTTCTTGCTTTTGTCCTTGCCGTGGCATGGCATGCCACGCCATGCCGCAGGCAAACAAGCTTCTGCAGGCCGCCGAGCTGGAGCCGAACTGGCTCATCCGTGCGGAGAGGGCTTTCGACGACATGGAGGCGGTGCTGACGCCCTTCGGCCGCGGGACGGTGGTCAACTTCCGACCCGAAGACGGCGTGTACGAGGTAAGTTACAGCCATAGTAGTCGACACAAGATAACTCCACACACTCAGCACCACAGCCGGTGGCAACGTTATGACGTGTTGATCTGAGCCCAATAACTTTAAACTACTCTCGGATCAGGTATAAGGGTGACAAGATGTACCACACACACAGGCAAAACAAACACTTTTTTGGGTAGGAATTGCTCTAGAAGCAAAAGGTCATCACCGGGGTGTATTATCTTGTCGCAAAAAAACATAAAAAGGGTAGGCTAGGTACCTACCGGGTGATGGTAACAACACCGTTGCTGCCCCCTATGCAAGAACACCGCACAACTAAATTTATCCCTCGCCGTCGCCAACACGTTTTCCTTCACCCCTCTCTTCCCTCGACCGCGCTCTCAACCCCAGGTCCTGCTCGACTGGTCCCAGAAAGTCTCCGCGTCCGCGGCATCCCGCAGCACAAGCGCCAAGGCCTCCACGGCTCCCGTCACCCCGCTGACGAGCCGCTCCGCCCACGCCGCAAGCCGACCGAACCCCCAGGGTCCGGCCGCGCCGCGCCCGACAACCCTGCCGACCCGGCCCTCGAGCTTCCCGAACGCCGCGGCGGGGGGATTGGCGAGGCCGGCTTCGTCTTCACCGGCGGCGGCGGCGGCGGCGGCGGCGCCTCTTCCCCCCTCTGCGGTGCCGGTGCCTCCGGCCACGGGAGCGGAGACGGCGGCCGGTAGCGCGCATGCCGGAGTTGGCGGTCCGGGGTCTGAGGGAGAAGCGGCGGCGGCAGCGGGAGGGGACGCTGGTGCTAACGCGGAAGACAACCCCGGCCTGCTGCCGCCGCCGCCGTCGCCTCTGATTCTGCCCGACCGCGGGCCCGACGCGGCCGGCGGTGGCGAGGCCGTGCGAGATGCTAGAGTCAGGAGGAGGAGCACCGCCGCGGGCAGTGGCAGCCGGCTCCGGTGCAGCGACGGCCGCCACAGCCGCGATGGCAGTGATGCGTGGCGACGGCGGCGGCGCCGAGGAGGCCGCCGGTGGACCGCCGGCGGATCGGCAGCGGCGGCGGCGGAGGCGGTGGCTTCCAGCCTCCTCGAGCCTCCCCGTGGGGGACAAACACCGGGACAACAAGGGCTGCCGCCGTCGACACCGTTGCCGCCGCCGGCGCAGAACGCCTCCACCGAAGAAGACGCAGCGGGCGAGGAGAGTCTCGCCGAGCAGGCGGCGAGGGCGGCGGCGGCGGCGGCGCTGACCGAAGCCGCCGCGGAGGCTGTCCAGAGGAACAACAGCCACGGGCACGAAAGCGGCGCCAACGGCAGCGGCGACGAGCGGGAAGCCGGGGGCAGCGAGAGCTCGCCGCACGCCGGTATGGTCCGGCCTCGCTCGGCGGGGTCGTTGGTTGGTGGGCCGGGCGGCAGCGACGGCGGTGGCGAGGTCGGCGGCTTCTCGCCGCACGGGAGCGGGGACGCTTCCTGGAGACCAACCTCGGTGAGGGGGACAGAGACAGAGACAGAGCAGGCAGAAGAGAAGAGAACGACACAGTTCGTGCCGTGTCTCGTCTATTGCGATGAGGATATCAAGCTTTGGACAGAAGGCCTGGCGGCGGTGTTACCTCGCCGTGCCTACCCTCTTGTGGAGATGGAACTGGTGGTAATTTTTCGCGATTTGTAGATGCAATAGGCGGCGAGGTTTCGCGTGTGCTTCCATTGCAAAGTAGACCGCGCAAGGGTGGATGCCGCTGCTGCCCGCTCGCCAACGCGCTTGCCCGCACGCGTGTGCCTTTTTGCCCTCGCCGCAGGGGGCCAGCGGCGGCTCGGGCGAGAACTCGCCTCAGGCTGCTGCTGCCTTTGCTGGAGGACAGCAGCATGACGAGTCCGTCGCGGCTGCGGCTGCCAAGGTATTGACGGCCAAGATGCCGGGGTCGATGGCGGTTCGCGCTTACCTGCAGCTCTCGTCGCTCAAGAACGCTCCCCCCGAGGTAGGTACCAGGCTGCACGAGACCGTTGCTCTCGTCACCCCCCCTAGTGAAGTGCTCTGTTGGCTGTGGTGGATCTTGTTTCCTTGGCTTGCGGTTGGTTGGAGGATAGGGACGGTTGTTGGCGCGTGTCTTTTCATGCTAACGCAAAGAGGGCATGTCTGCGGCGGGCTACGCTAATCGCCGCAGGTAGGCTTGGTGGCTTGTACGATGGGCGAAAAGGTCGCGGCAAGCTCCTTCATGAACCAAGATGGAGCACTCTTGATGAGCAGGATACGTACAATAGCCTTCTATTCCCCCCTTGGCTTCTTGTAAGCTACAGGGGTCAGATGAAACCGCCATCGATTGCTTGACTTGGTAGAACATACGATGTTCTTGTCTTATCCGCCCCCGGTCCGGGCACTGTAGGGGTGCGAGGTCAATGGTCTACCGACTACGGAATTCGTTTACATGACTACTCCTCCCCCCGACATTGTGACATACCCCCCCGTCTGTCTGAGGTAGCTACAACGCCAGCGAGCAAGTCCTTCCCTTCCCCTCCCTTGCCCTCCCCTCCCGCCAATAGGTGAAGAAGCCAGCCCGCAAGGACGAGCCCGACGAGCCCAAGTCCGGCAGGCTATCCACACGCCTGAGCATCTTCAGCCGACAGCAGGACGCGGGCTCGGCCGGCAGCAGCCGGTCCACGGCCAAGGTTTCCATCACCAGGGGAGCAATGGTTCAGACCTTCTTGGGACCGGCGATTGTCAGGCACGTCCGCACGGAAGACGGCATGTGCGAGGTGGGTTTCTTGGGCAAGATTATGATTCCCACGGCCGGTGGCAAGTGGTTCTGATCCGCGTTCGTTACGATGACAACTACTCGAGTCTACTGAGCATAGACCAGAGAACGGAAAAAACACAAAGTTTACGAACAAAACCGAAACTATTATAGGATGTGACGACTGATATTTTGCTGCGTTCGCGCCCCCCACGCCAATCCTGCTACCAGGTCGCCTTCCAGAAGTGGGTCCTCGCCTGCGGGAAGCCGGCGTTAGGGGTTCTCCGAGAGGCCGACCTGGTCGCCGAGACCGCGGCCACCCTCGGCAAGTCGCCGTCCCTGTTAGGCCGCACGGGCAAGGCCATCTCGTCGCTCTTCAAGCTCAGCACCGTGCCGGCCCCCGCCCCGCCGGAGCCGCGGGTCGGCGACATCGTGGACACCATCTTCGGGCCCGCCGCCGTTACCGCCGTTCGCGGCGGCGGTCCCGCCGCCGGTCTGCCTAAGCTGAAGAAGACGGCGGCGGGAGGGGAAGAGAAGGAAGTTTCTAGTCATACGGCACCTGCGGCCGCCACCGCATCACCGGCAAGAGGAGCGGTCAGAGGCGATGCACCAACCCCGGCGGAGGCGGCGAGTTCATCGCCTGCTGTTGTTGGTCCGGCAGACGGCGATGGGATTGGCGTGTCCGAAGGAGGTTCCGCCGCCGCCCCGGCATCGTCGGGACAGGAGGCGGCTCCTCCGTCGCCGCCGTCTGCCAGGCCTTTGCTTACACCGCCGCGGTCTCCCCGCAGCCAGGCCTCCACCGCTGCCGACAACCAACAGCAGGAGCAGCAGCAGCAGCAGCAGCCGTGGGCGGCCGCCTCTCCCCGGCTTACCCGGACGTCATCGCTGCCGGCGACACCACCACCACGGGCACCGCCTCCTTCCTCAGCGACCGCAATAACCGCGGGAGACTTGACGCCCGTTTCGCCGGTGTTCCTGGGCCTCCCGCCGCCCGCCTCTCCCCCGCGCCCGTCCCCCGCCTACTCCGCCGGCAGACCCCGGGGCGCGAGCATTTCCGTCCCCGGTCGGGACGACCACCGCCGCCTCTCCTTCTCCAGCGGCGGCGACGCTGGTGCGGAGGAAGGGTTGGGCGAACTCGGGAGGCAGCTCAGCGGCAGCGCCGCCGGGGAGCTGTTCCCCGGGCAGCTTCTGTCCTCGCCGGCCTCCGTCGCGGAGCTGGGCGGGCGCGGGGGCAGGCGGGGGTCGTCATCCCCGCAGTCCCCGGCTGATGCTGCTGCGGCGGCGGCGGCGGGAGCGGATGGTTTCGATGCGCCGTCCCCCGGCGTCGGCAGCGGCGGGGAGAGCGGGGACGAGGAGCAAGGAGAAGGCGGCGATGATGATGCAACCTCGCCCCTAGGGATCCGGATCCTGGAGAGGAGGGGGGAGATGGTCGGGGGGGGGAGAGCGTCGGCGGCGTCGCCCACGGACGCGGTCATGTACGAGGTGGGTGGCTCGTTCGTGCGACTGTATTGTTGGCATAGAGAAGTGTTTTGGGGTAGACGTGTGTGTGTTTGCATTTCTGTTGTAGTGTTGCACTTGGCCCAAGATCGTAAGTATTAGATTTTTTGCTGAGGCCTCCAGCTCTGAGGCCGGTGGTCCGACCCATACTTTTCCTTGTCGTGTCTTCTCCTTGGCCACTGGCCTGGAGCCTGGTTGAGCTACCCAAAAATTCGGGTATTCTACCATGTTATTGAGCCAACCTACCTCGGGAACAGGCTTGCAAAGTCGTTTTCGAATGCCGGCGGAATCACCGGCGGATGTCGGCGACCGCGGACGTCGCCCTCTGCCGGGCAGGGCCACCGCGATCGTCACGACCTTGTCTTCCGTGCCGGGGACCAAGAATTTTCATGGAGATCCTGCGGGACACGGAGAAAAAAGAAAAATCGGCCAGCGTGGGGTCTCGCCCACCTTCCGCCGGTTTTTATGTGCTCCACGCACGCACGCGGCCGCGGACGTGTACAACGCGGAGTGGTACCGCCGCGTGCCCGGTCGTGACGTCGAGCGACACTCGCACGATCTCGTGGATCCCGACCACGATTACGTTTCGGACGAGCGCCTTGCAACCCCGTCCCTGAAGAAGACCCGTACACCGACATGTCGGCTTCGTCTCTGTCGTCGATGAAAAGGGAACTGTCCATCATCGCTCGACGCGGTATAGGAGTACTCCGACGGTGTCCCGTTGTGGTCGCACGCCTATTGCAAGGCGCTCGTCCGAAACCTAGTCGTGGTCGGGATGCATGAGGCCGTGCGAGTGTCGCTCGACGTCACGACCGGATAGGCGGCGGCACAGCTCCGCGTTGTTCACGCCCGCGGCCGCGTGCGTGCGTGGAGCACGTAAAACCGGCGGAAGGTGGGCGAGACCCCACGCCGGTCGATTTCTCCGGTTCCTCGGCGTCCCGCAGGATCTCTGAGCTTGCCCCCCGGCACGGGAGACAAGGTCGTGACATTCGCGGTGGTCTATCAGAGGGCGACGTCCGCGGTCGCAGACGTCCACCGTCGACCCGTCCGGCCATCCGACCCTCTAGTAAACCTCGAGCGATGGCGCCGCCTCCAGGGGTGCTGTGGTCGTGAAGCACGGCACATCCGTGGACGGGGTGTCGGCCGACACAAACCGCGGCGACGCTCGCGTGGGCAGGGGCTAGGGCTGGGCCGGTGCCCGCCAGTGCGGGCGCTGGTGCCGCGGCTGGTGCGGGAGTCACCGCTGGCGCCGGTGTCGGCGCTGGGGGCGTGGGGTTAGCCCTCGTCCCTGGCATCTTTCAGATTTCTTTCTCTCCTACCCAGTGTTCTCTCCTGTTCACAGTAGGGAGAAAGACATTAATCGGCTGTATGCAGGTCTCAACATATGATCAGGGCAGACGCCTCCATTCATTTTCGTGCCGAATTTGAATTCGTTTTATCCCAGATTTTACGGGAGAGGAAAGTTCTTGTCCATCCACCGTTCAAGCAATGTTGTTGTCCCTTTGTTCTCGCCTCCGATCTATCGCGCGTACATTAATGCGAATCAGTTATCTTGTCCAGCCTTCCACCAAACGTTTCTTCTTTGTGTAATCGCCTCCCATCCTTCATGAGTGATGATGATTGGTACAGGAACAAGTTTATGTAATGACTTATTTCTCCGCGCCTCACCCTTTAACAGGTGGCGTTCATGAAGTGGCGGCTCACCAACAACACGCCCGCCAGAGCGGTGCTCAACCGCGGTAGTATCTGGGCGGAGTGGGAAACACGGCCATCCACGGCCTCCTTCTCCTCAGCGAACAGGAGGTCAAGCCGCCGGCACGGCGGCAGCAGGAGGCAACGGCGTTCTTCCCGGCCTTCGTCCTTCTTTGGGTTCATGTCCATGGTGGGAGGGTACGCGGGGGGCGGCGGAGGCACTACGAAGATTCTCGAGACGCCCCCGGGGAGTCCGCAGAAGTGAGAGCTGAAAGGAAGGGGGGGGGGGGGACCTAAAGCCGTTACGGAAAGTATGGTTTTGTGTGGCAGTGAGGGACCGCACTGGGCCATACACCGTTGAATTATCGTCCCTAGAATCGCGCCTGATACTACTGTCGTCGGCGGAATTCGCGTTCATGGTTTCTG